TWAMTTAAAAGTCTTGGAGCTTCGCCTCATCAACAATGTCCATTGAATGTAATACCCGTGATTGTAGTATGGTTTTAGAGTATTTTATAGAGTCACCGAGTCAGCTCTACTTCAAATGATAAATCATTTTGACAAGTATGTGAAATTGAGACGAGTATCTTGATAATGATTAATCATTATTTCTTATTTTAAACCCTTAACAAACACAGGTCAATTAATCAAATTAATCAACACGAAATCAGAGAATAATTGAGACTCTCAAGTTTCTGAAAATTGAGTTAAATCAAGAGAGCAAGATAATAGGCCGTTTGCATTATGACGTAACTTTACTACAACTACCAGAGAGCCTTGCGCATTTTCATTGTTATTCAGATATTTAATCCCCTTGGAGATTAATAAACTATTGGCACTAATTGCATTACAAAAGAAAGTTGGCAAAGCATTCTGGTAGTTGTAGTAAAAGTAACTACGCTTCGTTGCTAACCTACGTGTATACGTACGTATATTCATCATATAATTATTCATTTTTCACTTCATCTATTCACTCCATAATCTATCTATACTTTTGTTCCTTAGTGCGCTTTCCATTTGTCAGAACTGGCTGCCCAGACCCAGAGAAAATGTCATTAGTATCATTCCCATTTAGTTAGGAAATTCAAATTTTCAAATTCTATCCATTATTCTACAGAAAACCTCGAAATGACTGAAAAATGTTGACAAAAAGCATTATATACCTCTAAATAGAGTGGACTGGCCGGACAGTTCTGCCTAAATGGAAAACACCCTTCCCATTTTATCACAGGCAGTCCATCCATTTAGTCTTTCTTGTCACACTTTRCGTGACGATCGGMTCCCGCTCAATTAAGGTCTTTGATGCACTAAATGAGCGGGAGTTTTAAAATGCGCAAAAAATCCCAACAATAGTATCTAAATAAGGAAAGATCTTTTATAACTTTATTAGCAAACCAAAAAAAAAAGATGTCGATTCATATTATAACGTTCTATTTCGGGCATCTTTGTTTTCTTGTTGCACTTAGCGTGACGATCGGTTCCCGCTCAATTAAGGTCATTGATGCAACAAATGAGCGGGAGTTTTAAAATGAACAAAAAAAATCCCCAAAATACTATTTAAGTAAGGAAAAACCTTTTATAATTTTATAAGCAATCTAAAAAAAAGATTTCGATTCATATTATAACGTTCTATTTCGGGCATCTTTCATTTCTTGTCACACTTTGCGTGACGATCGGCTCCCGCTCAATTAAGGTCTTTGCTGCACCAAATGAGAGGGAGTTTTAAAATGTAGAAAAAAATCCCAAAAATAGTATCTAAGTAAGGAAAGATCTTTTATAACTTTATTAGCAATCAAAGAAAAAGATGTCGATTCATATTATAACGTTCTATTTCGGGCATCTTTCATTTCTTGTCACACTTTGCGTAACGATCGGCTCCCGCTCAATTAAGGTCTTTGCTGCAACAAATGAGCGGGAGTTTTAAAATGTACAAAAAAATCCCAAAAATAGTATCTAAGTAAGGAAAGATCTTTTATAACTTTATTAGCAATCAAAAAAAAAGATATCGATATATTATAACGTTCTATTTTGGGCATCTTTGTTTTCTTGTCGCACTTAGCGTGACGATCGGCTCCCGCTCAATTAAGGTCTTTGATGCACTAAATGAACGGGAGTTTTAAAAGAGGGCGCTACGCTCGGCTCCCTCTCAATTAAGGTCTTTGATGCACTAAATGAGCGGGAGTTTTAAAATGTACAGCCGTATCACGGTTCATTCCCACTTCTGCTTTTCTTTTCTTTTTCCGCTTTATGGATTAATGGTTGAAAGTGCATATTTAAATCGAATAACAAACGAGAAGAATACTCATAATTGCCTTACGATTAGCATGCGCTTTGCCAGATGTGTGGATTAACGAGACTTGTTCATTTTACTTGTGTTTTCTTCACATAATAATTCTACTTATGTCCGTCTGGAACATTATCATCTCAACACTATCAACAGATAATAGCTCTAACACCTTATTGACCCTCCAGTTTGGACCAATACCTACAATATACTTCCTTTAATTTATCATTGTATTAAATTTTCTGATTTCGTGAAGCCGCTTCTGATTGGCTACARCAACGGCGCCTGTCATTGGTCATTTGCTGGGCTCCAGTCTCGGCTCAGAGGAAGTCCCGACCAAAGTTTCAAGTTTCAAGTTTGTTTATAATAAATAATAATAATTTACACATGAGTTAGCAGGCATCGCAATTAGTTAAGACTATTCAGGGCGATGCCCGCTATAAATACTAATTCACGACATCTTGGTAGCAGCCTCGTTCCCAGGCCCTTATCCCTTCTCTTGGGAACGAGGTTGCGACCAAAATGTCGTGAATCAGAAGGAAAAGACTGGTGGCCATGTTGTTGGTATGAAAAGTGGACACTAAAGAGAAATATTTTATTGAAGTACAACCAACCTGCCTGCTGTGTACCTTATTGAAAGACTAAATGAATATTGATTTCTCATRAGMCAGCTTTACAGTTCGAAAAAATATTCTAAAAAAGTTCAAAGCGCCATCATGAAAGGTAGCCCAGCATGGATTGATAGATACCTTTTGTTCACATAAGACAATTATTCTMAGGTATCTATCATTGYAAGCTCTACTCCTGTCTCGCTTTGAAACAAAGGCTTGGCTACCTTTCAAGATGGCGACGGGAACTCTTTAAAATTGAGTTWMYKGSC